AGAAAAAAATGTTGGTCTCTTAATTTCGGTTTCAGAATATTTCCAATAAAACTTATGCAGTTATGGATTTAAATAAAATAGATTTTAAGCATGCTTTAAATGCTGGGGAACAACAGACATGCTGGCTGGCAGTTAACTGTTGTTACAGATGTTGTTTATAATCTGCTGAAAGCAAGCTCAAAAGCTAGAGGAATATTCAAATGAAAATGTTAAGAAGAATAATTTTGAAAGTGATTCTGCTTCATGTCATATTCAGACATCCATGTGAGTAAAGGTATAGTAGAGAATGGCCACAAATCTTTTTGTGTCAGTAATTAAAGTGTAACAGGGATGCACAAGCTGAAAACCTACACCAAACAAGACTGGTAAATAAAGCATAGTGTGCAAGATTATTTCAGTGAAGATTTAGAAAAAGGGAACAAGAAGTAGAATTATGTTGTTTATGTACATCTTACAGCTGTTTTACTGTACATTCAGTTTGCTTTCAAGAGAAAGATTTATTGCATTTCAGGTTCATAGAATATGTGAACAATATACTGCAGTGTCATACTTTTTGACTGAAAAATATATAAAGCTTAAGCTTCACACTGCAGCATTATCAGATAGCAGGGTCTCACTATTAACATAATTACCATTACTAAGCAGCCTTTCAGGGAATACAATCATACTTGGGGAGATTCTAAAAACCACAAATGTCTTATTTCATTACGACTTACCATCTAAGTATTTTCCTTAGGTGGTATCAACTGCTGAAACTTTTGTTGGTTCTGCCCCTATTTTCTCACAGCTCTGTGAGTTATATCTCATAGGTTTTTATTTCTTTACAAATACATTTACGTACATTTGTGAGTATAAGAAAAGAAGCTCCAGAGGGTAAAAAGAGTAGAAACGAAAAGTGGCTTTTGCCCTCTATTCACAGATTAAAACAAAGTAACCAAACTGTCAGGTAAACCCAGTAAAAAGTATCTGCAAGTTGACAGTAAGGCAGGTTGGCACTAAAATCCTGTTTTAACTTTGGGCTTTAGGATACATCCAACATGCAAATGGCAAGTCAGGGAAGAATACAGTGCATTGTGTTACAAATGAATAATTGTTATAAATAGCAAAGCAGGATTTTGTTTTCCAGATAGAATTAAATATGTAATTTAGGTCCTTATACATTTACTCAAGATTAAACCAAAGATGGAGAGCTGCACAGAGGAAGGCACACAGATGACTGAAACAGTACCAAAAAGATGGATGGGTATATGATCATGAGGAGGTCGTGCAAAAATAAGGAGAAACTACTCAAGGAAGAACACGAAGCAGCAATCAGATATAAAGAGCCAGGTGAAGTAATCACTAATTTCAGTATAACTTAATAGGGGAAGGGAAAGCAGCAGCAAGAAAGGTAATTTTTTTATTACCCACTATATTTCTGCACTAAAAATAGTGCCTTAAACTGTTACATTAACAACCCCACTCCAGCTTTAATTTGGGGCACCCATCTTCTGGGAATGAGTCTTATTTCCAGGCTTAAGAGCCTTCATTGAGAGATGAGTAGTACTCCCAGAATTGAGACCTCTCTTCTGGAGGTTAAGTTTTTTCTATAGCTGAACTTCTGTTGGGTTTATGACCCTATTTGTAAATACCGTGACCTTACTTGGAGTTGTACAATTTTGGATCTGAAGGATTAAGGAGTGGCAGAGGACACTAGGAGCCAGAGAGGAAGACATTTCAGCTACCCAGATGAACATGAATGCAAAATGTAGCTATTGGATAGAAAGTAAAGAACAGTTCTAGATGCTATCAAGGAATAAAACAAGACTATATTTGAATCTTTAGTATTTGTTGTCCTAGTTCAAGAAAGGCTGAAATGAAATTGGATTGCTGTATTAATTTCAAAATTCAGGGTTTCTGTTGCTGGATTGTGGAGGCCAGGAAAGAATTTTTTTTTTCTTGCTTAATGCACAGTTTAGCTTCTGGACCTTTGTATTTTGCCTTCTTTGAAACACTAGACACTGAACACAGCAAGCCTTAGTGCTGCTGTCACATTCTTTCAGATGGCAGGTGCATGTGTCCTACTTAGGGTTAAAACAATCACCACATTTGTAGTCAGGAGACATCAGATTGCTATAAATCAAACTGGAAAGACCACTGTGAGATATTGTCATTTCCCCTGCAACACAGGGAGAGTATATAGGCAAAGTCTGAGCAGGAAGGAGCTCACTTTCATTCATATTCATTTAAAGGTGACACTTAAATGTGATTGTCCAAGATATATGCTATCAATATCTAAAGGTCAAGGGAAAAATCCCTGTGAAGCTCTCAGAGTCAGGAGGAAAAGAGTCTATTTAACTAGATGTCAGACATGAAAGTAGAAAGATAAAAAGAAGACAACAATTTCTCAAAACCTTGGAGGAATAAAAGATCAAGAAGGAAAGGGTAATCAAGATAATAATATTTAAAAAAAAAACACAAACAACAAAAAACTCGCACGCACACACACACACACACAAAAAAACCCCAAAACCAAAAAAAAAACCCAGCAGAAAGGTCAAGAAAGAGGATGGAATACAGACTCTGATATCAGGCAGGCAAGGATTCTTTAGGGATTGCATAAAAAACATATTTTGACAAATAAAAAGAGATGACACCAGCTTGGAAAGGATCCAGGATGAAGTTGGAAGAGAAAGTACATCTGTTGTAGAATGGATGTTCAGTGAGTTTAGCGATAAAGAGTTTAGAGATAAAGGGGAGGAGAGTAATGGGGTGGACAGATGGGGATTACTTCTCCTCCAGCCTTCGCTGACAAGCAATGTGGCCACTGTGGCTCTTCTGACAGCATTCCTTTTTGTATAGAACCACTCCTGAACTGTAAAGCATAAATTCAGTTCTGCAGTCACATAAAAGGGAATTTTTACCTAATCCTTCCGTGATTTTTCATTCCCCCTCCAGAGGGCAATGGTTTCAAAGAAAACATTTTGTCCTATGTCAGGCTGATGCCTCAGCTTGAGTCAGAATTTTTTTTTCTTTTCCATTGATTACAATCACCCAGGTTTAGATTGATCAACAGTTATATCAGAACCTTGCTGGCAAACAGTTACACTAATTGATGGCAAATTCAATTCATCAAAAATGAACATTTTCTTTGTTAAAAAATATTTGTCTGTGGAATAAATGCATCAACCTTTAGAAGAAGATTCTTCGATAATAAATTAAGTTGCCTAAATACATTGGGTTTGTAGCTGCAAGCATGCTTTAATGTTCCCATAATCCCTGATAATAAAATCTTAGAAAAATCATGTCTGAAATCAAAATGTTCTAAGATCCAAACTCACAAAAGTTATCACTTGGATATTTCTTTTCAGTTCCTTTCTGCTTAAAGATAATAGTTGAACAAGAGATGGAACAGCATGGTTTGTAGTACTCTGGTAAGTAATTTTTCTCATTTCCTTTAAGTGCTGTCTTAGTAGATACTCATATGAAAGATCAGTCAGCTAAGACAAAACAAAGGAAGACCAAAAGCTTTGATCTTCCCAATCATCTTTCTGTTGTCCTTCCTCATCCTCCCATTCACCTTCATTCTCTCTATCTATTCTTTTTAATTTGTGTGTTTTGTTAAATTTGGGCCAAAATGTTGATTTTCTTACAGCAATTTTTGTGTTCTCAGCATACCAACAAACAGCATCCACAAGGCAAAATGAACTATCAGATCTGTCCATTTAAATTGCTAACACAATGATTTAAAAAAGAAAGGTTATCTGGGTCTTTACAAATAATGCTGCTGATCCTGTGCTCTGTTGTGAAATATTTTCAGGTATGACAACATCTTGGCCTGACAGAATATTTTAATCTGTTGGATAGAATTAGCCAAGCACGCCTCATTCAAGCACCTTATGAATGGATTTGCCAGCTGGGCAAGGGCTAATATTAGGGTTTGTGAAAGCCAGAGGGAGGAGATTGGTTACCAAAGAAACAAACAAATCTCTAAGCAGATATATCCAAGAGATATCCCAAGCTCAGTCTTAACCTGGTCTGGTATCCCCTTCTGGCAAAAGATTAAAAAATCAGCTACAGATAGAGTAAAGGAGGGAAACAGGAACTTGTGTGAATCCTTCTCTGCTCTACAACAAATTGCACAACATACTGAAGAAAATTCCCTTATCCTGGTTGAAAACCTGGCTACCAGGCAATATGCAAACTGGAGGCAATAAGATTTTCTGTGAGAGGAAGGAGAAATGCTGTCAGTTGAGGGAAACTGTAATGAGAATTTGTCAGGGGTTTTTTTTGTCTGATCATCCCAACCTTGGATGTAGAAAAGACAGTAAACTAGTGGTCAGTTTGGATGAGGATGACAACAGTGAACAGCCAACTTAACGAAACTAGCTACTTTTTGCAGCCATTGTATCTTCTAGGCAAGTATCATGTTTTGAAAGTCCTTTCTGGTTCTCAGGTCCTTTGCCAAAGCGGTTTGCAAAAAAGGTTCATGTGAACTTCCACCATTTTTCCACAGGATCTTTAGAATGGATCCAAAGAAAACATGGTATAGGGTAAAATTATAGGAAGTTGAAAGTTTGTATCTGGGTTTCACTATGGAGAATAATACAGAATTAAATGATACAGATGTCTAAATGGTTAAACTGAAGGAAGGAGAGATGGACTAAAGCAGGTATCTCTTTAGGACTTTATAGTGATCTAAGAAAGCCTTTTTTTCCGGTCTTGTTACATAGAATGTTTCTTTTAATGCCTCAGGCAATGATCTAGGCAGGCTAGCTTCAAAAAACGGGGGTGGGAATGCAGTTTTTAGCTCAAACTAAACTGCAGTGCTAAAGGTATGCTTCCCTGGTCCTGTAAAACACAGCCATGGATACAAACAACCCAGTAACACTACTTTTAAAGTCCCATTTCCTTCATTCTTCCGGACACCATGTCCTGAGCGCCTTCTGTGCCTCAGCCTCCCTTGGCTCTCCCAAAGGTGGACTCTCAGATAAGGGTAAGCGTTTTTCTTCCCACAACAGGCCCCAGCCTGGCTGGGGCATTCAAGCTGGGGCTGTGGCTTCAGCAGCGGTACGATGAGAACAGGGGGGTGACGAGGAAGGTGGAGGAGAAAGGGGCTGTGGTAGCAGGGAGCGCCCAGGGCGCACGCAGCAGGCAGCAGAAGAGCGGGCAGGAGGAGGCAGCTGGAGGTGGGAGAGGCGGACGGAGCAGGCCGCAGCCCAAGCAGGCAAGCCGGATCCGTTCCGGGCACAGGGGCTCCCGCGGTGGTGCCTCTCCGGGGCGCAGAGAGAGCTGTGGTAGAGAGACGGGACAAGACCGTGGGAGGATGGAGGCGGATCAGCAGTGCCATGCCTTCCGTATTCTCCCCAGCCTCTCAACGAGACCTGAGGTAAACCCCAGCCCGCCACCCGCGACCGCCACCGCGGCCGTTGGGGGGCAGCCCCGCCCCCCCCGGCCGGCAGAGGGCGCGCGG